GATACTTACGGAGGCAGATGGAGAGGATACTTACGGAGGCAGATGGAGAGGATACTTGCAGCTATCAAACAGGGAGGAAGGGGTGTGTAAAACTGTCGGGGGAAGCAGACGCTGAGCGTACTGATTAGAATGGTTAGCACAAACTAAATAAACGTGGAGAGGCTGCCAAAGCTGAGACTGCCCTTGTAAGGTCTGAATCACCTTGCCCCTTGTTTCTGCAGTAGTAGAACCTGTGTAATGTTCAGCAGACTCAGAGTGTAGTATCAGACAGACAAGATGTTGAAGGAGGCTGTTTGTTCATCCCAGTCACCCAGAACTGAAACAACACCACAGAAACTGTATTAATTAAATCGCTACTTGACTCATTAGCTCTAACTTATTGACTGACTCTTACATATTAATTTAACCCATTTCTATTAATCTGTGTATTGCTACGTGACTGTGGCTTACCTGCTTAAGTTCTGCCTGGCTCCAGCAGGGCTACATGGCTTCTCTCTGACTCTTCCCTTCTTTTTCCTCTTTTTCCCAGCATTCAATTAAGTTTTCCCTGCCTAGCTCTGTTCCCCTATAGCTCTGCAATAGGCCCAAAGCAGTTCCTTTATTAACCAATGGTAATCACAGCATACAGAGGAGAATCCCACATCAACAAGAAGTTCAGGGTTAGTCTTGGTTATGTAGTTGAGCCTCTGTTTTAAAAGGAAATATCAAAATAAACAATATGTTATGGCATGTGAAATACATAAATTCAAATTTCAGTGTCCATAAATAAACTTTCTTAAAACTCAGTCATCCATTTTGACATGTCTGTGGTTGTTTTTGCACTGTGAAAGGAGAATCGAATACTGGGGGTGGGGAGAAGACCACTCCATGAAGGATGAAATTTTGTTGAGAGTTGGGGCAAACATGTGCTACACAGTGTGTGTGAAATAATGCAAGGCACCAGTGACATTGTCTCTTCTAATGTGAAGAGGGCAGTCCTTTATCGCATTACTCTGGGCCCGCTCCACTTTCAGTACTGAAAGACACTGTGCAGGCAGAAATGGCACATTTTGGCAGCTATGGTGTCTGAGAGCTGGGTTCGTTTGTTGTAGCTGCCATTGTTCCACACTACATCCTTAAGCAATAGACCTCAATGCACCCACAGTTCTGGAGGCTAGAAGCATGCAATGCAGTGTGAGCAGGGCCCAGGGCCCTCTGAGGGAGGTACCTGTTCCAGGTTGCTCTCCTGGCCTCCAGCAACTGAGTTGGGTGACTTCAGTCATCACTTGCATACTAGCTGGGTATGTCTCTGTTTCCAAATTTCCCCATTAGAGAATGACAACAGTCATTCTGAATTAAGACACCTGTAGTGGCATTTCATTTTTATTTTAATAAATAAAACTTGCCTGAAGATCAGAGAGTAAAACAGCCTTACAGACCAGGCAGTGGGAACACACACCTTTAATCACAGTGGTGCATGCCTTTAATCTCAGCCATAGAGAGAATTATAAAATGGGAGGAAACAGCTCTCAGGTTCAGTCTCATTCTGAGATTCCTAGAGGCAGAAACATCATTTCAGACTGAGGTCAAGGTAAGAGTCAGTGGCTGACTGCTTTGCTTTTCTGGTCTTCAGGATGAACCCCAATTTTTGTCTCTGAGTTTTTATTATCTCGCTTAAGGCACACCCTCTCCACTGTACACAGAAGTTTCTGTCCCACCTGATCCAGCAGCTGTTCAGTCTCAAGTAAACATGTAGAGGTTTATATTAATTATAAACTCTTTGACCCGTTGTTCAGGCTTATTGTAACTAGCTCTTACAATTTAACCCATAATTCTTATCTATGTTTAGGCATGTGGCTTGGTAATTTTTCTCAGTGTGGCATTCTCATTTTGCTTCCTCTGCATCTTGCTTGTGACTGTGTCTCTGCCTTTCCTCTTACCAGAATTCTCCTAGTCTGATCACCCTGCCTACTCTTCCTTCATGGCTACTGGCCATTCAGTGTCTTAGTAACCAATGTGAGTGACAAATCTTTACAGTGTACAAGAGCACTATCCAACAGCACCCCACTTCATTGTGACCTCATTTTAGGCATTTGTATCTGTAGTAATCTTGTTTCTAAGTTAGTGGGGTGTGAGTGAGGAGTCAGGACTTCAGGGGAGACTTTCAGAGAGATGCAATTCAAATCAACCCTTATAAGCCCCTCGCTTCCTGGAACAAATTAGCATTCAGACAACTCCTTCCCTTTTCTGATTTCTGCTCTGCCTGTAACATGGAGGGAACTCCCATCTGATTCACTTCTCTTTTATCTGGCATCCACCACTAAGCCTTCTCATAAGCTTGATAGATGGTTCAGTGGTTACAGACGCTGCTGCTTTTCCAGAGTACCAGAGTCTGAACCCTGAGCACCCAGATTGGGCAGCTCACAGCTGTCTGAAATTCCAGTCAGGGGATCTGCTAACATCTGACCTCTAGGGAACCTACACACACACACACACACACACACACACACACACACACACACACGCTTAAAACCAGCATCATTGATGGGAAGACATCAAGAAGAAATGTTTCAACATAAAGCTCTCTTTATTAATTTTGAACAGTTAAATACGGAGTGAAGAGTTATTTATTTAAAGTCTTCTGCTGATTCTTTTGAAGACATGTCCTGAAAGTGAGAAAAGAAATCATGAAATGGTTACCTGATGTTGAATAAAGAACAAATAAAGTTGTTTCCCTAAGTGGCCCCAAATGTGTTAGCACACAAAACAACCCTCCCCCAAATCCTCAATTTCTTTGATTTTCTTTCTAAAATACCATACTAGATCTTTGTCATCTCCCTTTCTCATGTAGAGGGCTGCCCTGGCAGTCATGAATCATTATCTTCATCACTAATAGCTCATGTGCTCTTAACCGCGGAGCCATCTCTCCAGCCCTCTGGTTCTACCCTGTATCAGCTGGATGATTTTGGATGACCTGATTATGAAATTCATTGTCTACCTCTCTTCCGGAAGGATTTGGGTGATGTGTTGGATCAGGTAATAGGCTAAGACCTAATGCAAGATGACTCCTCTCTGCTGCCCTGCACTGCTGTGTAAGTGAGGGATGAGAGTTGGGACTGAATAATTGTTCCATAGTTGACGTCCTCCTCTCCCAAGTGAGGGGGGTCCATTTGGGCAAGTCATGACAGCCTCCACAGACAGGGTTCTGCCTTCTGTGACTCCCTAAGGCACATTCTGGGCCAAAGAAGAGCTGGGAGATACAGCTATGGGAGGAAGACTGCATAATCCTGCAAACTGGGGGCAGGATACGGCTGACAGCTGGCATGGAGCCTGACTGTTTAATATTGGATCCCCAGAGATTGGTAGCTGCAATGAACTTGACAGTCGTGGGACTCCACATCAATGTTAGGTGGGTAGAGAGGCATTTGTAGGCACCTTAGCTGTAGAAGGTGGCCGCCTCTGTCACTTGCTTAGTGCTGAGGTGGAAGAAAAGGCTGTGGCTATTAGTCGCTCTGACATCATCAAATAGGAACAACAACCGAAGAGCGTCGCTTTTGTATAGGTTTGGCACTGATGGCAGGCACTGCTGCAGAAGCCACTGAGGTCTCCTGGACAGCAGATCTGCAGAGTGAAGTCTGGGGACATCGCTGAATTGAATGGGCTTCTGTCCTTTAGGGAGGTTTGTGGCCCTATCGCAGCGGAGACAGGAAAAGACAAGCTGTGTTCTGTGCATCCTGACCCGTACCTCAGCACACCGAATATTTCTCAGCCCATCTTGTTTGGCTGCTGTTGGGATGGGGAAAGTGGCAGGGAGTGGGCAAGGAGAAGAGGTTGACTCTGAACGGAAGGGAGACAGCAGGTGAATTAGAAAAGGGTGACCCTTCCTCAAGACACTGCTCTTCTGTCAGAAAATCACCCTGACATTCGGCCCTGGTTCGGTCAGAAGAAGATGGCTGCAGATGTACTGAGTGTAAATCTTTACTGTCCTGTAAAGAGGGGTCCAGGTGGGAAGGAAGGCCCTGCTATGAATTTGATTGCCATACATGACATCGGATAACAACATGTCTTGTCTCCATATTCTGAACCAATAATCTCCTAACCCACAATGTTCTGGCATTCAGTGGACGTGGGGTGAAATTATGGATGGAAGAAAATGTCAGGGCTTCTTTTGCTAGCATTCAAACTCGTGGGATGTGATCTAGAAATGCGCAGAGAATACTTAAGTGGCCCCCAAACAATGCTAAGATCCAGGAAAATCCCAGCTCTCTGGCCTGGGCACAGTGATACAGACCTGTAATCTCAGCCCTTAGGAGGCAGAAGCAGAAAGATGCTGAGTTTAAGGCCACTTGGGGGATACCTGGCAAGATGCAGGCTCAAAACGAATGAATGGGTAAGCGAATGAGCGAAAGAATAATTAAAGAAGTCACCCAAGCAATGGCAGAGACATTGGCCAAGGTAAACATCTGCTTCCACAATGGGCCATTGGGAAAGCCCTATATAGAAAAAACACATGACAACTCACCTCTCTCATGGGCAGATCACGAGATGCCTGTTCCATTCCTCATTTTCATGAGGAATGCTGTATATGGAGAGGTGGAAATAAGCAGCAGTCAGAAGAGGCAGAGACTCCTGCTGAGCCTGAGGCACAAGGCTGCCAGGAACGGCAGGAACAGACAGAGCAGACGCACCGTCCACTGGCTACCCTGGGCTGCGCAGGCTTCAGAGGGAGGAGCAGGTGAGAGGACCCACAGCCCCGGATCTCTGCTATCATCTGTCCACTGCTCCCACAGCCCACAGCTAGCTGACACTGCTGGCTAGGGCCACACACCTCACTGCCCTGAGGAGGTGAAGTTACTCTGACTTAGCTAAAGGTTTTCCCTGGTACCGATTTGCCCCAGTTCCAGGCTCTCCTTGGAGGACTCTGAGAGCAAGGAGCACAGTGCCTGGGAGACGCTGTGACTGAAGATCTTGCCTTGTGTCCCATTTCCCCCACATCCTCCACTCAGTAGAGGTCAGGCTTAGATGGTGGCTGATCAGCTGTGAGACAGTGAGAGCATCTTCTTCCAGAGCTGAGACATGGTGGGGATTGTTAGAGAACTGTGAAGTACAGCGCTGAGACAGTGAGCCGTGGCACCTGGCTCTAGCAACTGTTCTGGAAGCAGTGAGTACCTGCAAGAGATGCCACATACCTTCGTCCCACTGACAGGCTTTTGGTTGCTGGTTCATGCTTAGAGGACGGGTTTTGGATAGCTGGCAGATGCTTAGAGGATGGCTGGTTTATTCTTAGTGGATGGCCCCTGCAAAATTTCTGTCTCTGCAAGGTCACAGCACATAAAAGAAACAGTTGGAAAAGCAGGCAACCCAGGGGCCTCACACACTCATTGCAAATCTATGGGTAAGCAAGGCCGTTGGCTTCTGACAGAGAAGGTCAGCGGCAAGGCCTGTCGATATCTTCCCAAGTAATTTTTTAAAAACACAGGTTCTCATGCAGGCCCCAAGCTCACTAGATAGCTGACATTGACCTTAAAATTCTAATCCTCCCATCTGTACCTCCCAGTGCTGGGAGTTCCGGCCGGTGTCACTCTGCCCGGTTTATGTGGTGCTAGAGTTTATACTCTATAACTGAGCTGCATCCCCAGCCACCAAGCCACTTTATGTAAGGACCATCCTCTGGCCAGACCACCCCCGCCTCCACAACTCTCTGCTTCTCACTCGCTCTCCTCCCCATCCCCTCCTACTTCAGTGGCTTGGATCTTGGAATAAGAAGATTATGGCCTCCATAGCAGAGGGCCAGAAAGCTTATCTTCAGAATCAAATTATCCCTGAAGTAACGACGGAGGTATTAGTAGTTGGGCCAGGACAGCATGTATGAAACAGGGCCTGAGTTCACCCAGGCATCCTGTGTCCTCTGGGGCAAGGCTCTCAGAAAGATACTACTGAATCTTCTCCCTTCCCCATAGGGCATTGCAGACTTCAGAACACATCTGTGCTTTTACATGAATGAGGATTCATGGAAAGCACCAGGTTGATAGCAGGATCCAGAGTCTTTTCATAGCCGAGATGCTGAAAGCAGTAAGTGGTTAGCCTGCAGAAGAGGCTGAGTCCTGGGATGGCCCCAGAGATCCTCCTTTCCCTGTGGTTGCTCTTCCAATTCTTTTCCCTCCTGTCACCCTCCCAGTCACATTGCACCCTCTGCTCATAGGGGTCCCTCTTTCTTGAACACATCACCACCTACTACTTGGGACTGCTTGGGTCCCGGGCTCAGCCTTCATAGCCACTGATTCTTCCACAGCCTTCTCTACCTGGGGAGGTGTAAGAAGTTAAAATGGGGTCCCTGGGATCCAGCGTCTGCTTCCACCCCAAATGCAAACACTCCCTACCTTGTGACCTTGGTCACAGCTATTTCCCCTTTTTTTGGCTTCTGTTACCTCTATTATAAAATGGGAAAATAACAGTGATCAAATCAGAGTGTTATCCTGGTGATTAAAAGAGGCGTCAAAGTAAGCAGTGTCTGGTATAAAATCGTCCATGTTAGGGGACACTTCCATCTCTAGACCGTGCTCTTATAGTTGTGGTTCATCACAGTCTGTCTCCCTGGTTGATATTTTAGGCATTGTTCTTAAGCCACTGTTTGCTAACCCCATTCTAGAAATTCAGGGTTCAAATGCCCCATCTAAGTGTGTAGTTTCAACTGCTTGCTTGCTTTATTTCCTCCTAAAGCTGCCAACCAGGATGTAGCTTTTCTGTTCTTTGCCTTTAAAAACTCCCCATAAAATGCATTCAGGACTGCTCTGTGAGAAATGTTTCTTTCCAGGCAGTTGCTTGCAGCTTAATACAGACTCCGAATTCATTCTGTGGTTGAGAGTATGGTCTTTGGGTCTCTACCCTGGAACAGTTTGACCCGGTGTGAGAGTCTCAGTGAGGGCTCTTCTAAGTTAGGATGGCCTATGGGCGTGTCAATGAGGGATGTTAACTGAGGTGGGAAGTCCCAACCTAAAAGTGAGCACCACCATTCCTTAGATTCTGAATTGTGCGAGTGGAGACGCATTCATTTCTCTCTGCTCTTGACTATAGAGCTGAATAGCTACTTCAAGGTCGTGCCGATGTGACTTCCCCACCGTGGAGGACTTGAACCTGGTACTCTGAGCTGAAATAAGCCCCTTCCCACCCACATTGCTTTCAGTTTCAGTATTTGATTACAACAACAGAAGTGGAACTAAAACCTCCAGCAAAGAAAAAGATAAGGCAGTCAGGGCTTTCCCGGCTAGGGGGCAATAAATGACGTGGAGAGTTAAGTCAGCGCAAATACCCTGTGACCAGTGAACCATCAGGGCCAGGCAGCTAGAAGCCTGGCAGGCCGCTAGTCGCAAGTGTCTCTACAAATGCAGCTGGGCTCTGAGGCCAGTGGGAGAGGTCAAGAAAGGACTACAGCGTTTGGCCCCAGGTCAAGAACCACTAATCTGGAAGGTTCTGGTTAGACACACGCATATGAGGGCTTGTGTCGAGGGTGGGCATTGATGTTCCAGAAGATAGCGTGAGAAGCTTCAGACTAACAGCTACAGCAGTCTACGGCAGGGTGTGCCCTAAGACCCCAACACAGACTGTGGTCTCTGGAGTTTATAGAAAAATAGTTTAGAAGTCCTTTTCTGCACACCTGTGCACACCTGTGCCCACTCAGGGCTCTTCTCTTTCAGTGCACTCGCTGTGGGAGAGGGCATCCTTCAGAGCAATGGTAACAGAATTAGCAGCACGTGTGGGAATGAGGGACCTGACCCCAGCACAGACGGCCACTCTGTGCCTTCCCTGCTCTGCCCTTTGCTAACAGGGTCAACAGTCTTGGGAAGACGTAGCTGTGGGAACAAAGGGCATGGGTCAGTTGGTTGAGTGCTTGCCTAGCACGCACAGATCCCAAAATTCTTTCCCTATTAGTCATAAAAGGGTGTGGTAGCCCAGGCCTGTAACACAACAGGTGGAGTTAGGAGGATCCGAAGGCTAAGGTCATTCTTTGCCTCATAGTGAGTTAAAGGATAGCCCAGACTACACGAGAGTGTCTCTAAAGGAGGAGGGGGCTTGGTATCTGTGAATCTTTGTACGTCCAAGCAGAAAATGACCAAAGACGAGCTTCTGTTTCTAACGAATGCAATGGAGCTGAGGCCGTTCTCCCAGAAGCATGCTGGGGAGGTAGCCATTATTTCCTTCTGCCAGCCACCCCTAAGCGACATGCTAGAGTGTACAGGAAGTAGAAGGTGAATTTAAAAAAGAACTCCATGATGTATCTTCCATGAGGTCACTATCCAGGATGGGGTGAGAGTTTGTGGCGATGCAACTCTGTGGGGTTCATCCAGGCATCTGTAAGGAACCTGCCAACCATTGGCTCAAAAGTGGTACTTCAGTGAAAGCCTTGCTTTGGTCTGTTGTTGGTGTCAGTGGATCAAATAGACTTTTGTTCATATCTACCCAGGGAAAGCAAGTTAAACAAATGGTTATCAATATGAAGGCCAGTTAGTCCAACACAGTCTTTCTTGTTAGACTCAACAAAGCTAGGAGGGATGGAGCTCACACCTGCCTATCTGATAGCACCCTCTCACAAAATTTCTGAAGGTCCAAAAGAGAGTGCTCTCAGGCTTCACACACATTGTGACCGCGGTGCTGTGAGATGCTAATCACTGACATTCTTGAAGAACGCAGCAATGCAGACAGCAAGTCTGCACAGAGCCCGCGTGCAGTTGCAGCTGCTCTGGAGTGCTGATGGCAGCCTCTACAGAGCTTCAAGACCATTGAACCCTGCATCTGAACAGCTTGCTTAAATCTCTCCTGTTCTGCCTGTAAAGTCTTGCCCTTTCTTCCTGTCTGCACATACATTCACTTTTAGTGAATTGTGCATTAGAGAATCCCAGTCTCTCCCTCTCCCCCCTCCCCTTTCTTTCTCTCCCTTCCTTTCTCCATTCCTCCCTGCTCATTGGTTAGATTGACATGAGTATTTGCTGAAGGATGGATGGATGGATGGATGGATGGATGGATGAGGTTCCCTATCACCTTGGGCAGCAGAGGTGCCCCTGACCTTTCTAATCAACTACCTTTGGCCCAGACTAAGTCCAGGAAGCCCCAGAGGAGGGCCAGGCTCCTTTATTCCCGGGGCTCTAAATCCAGGGCCCCCAGAATTGAGACTGTAAGGTAGCAAGTAAGTGCGTTTTGACACCAGCTCAGCCTCCATGTGGAAGTGAGGCACATCTCCCTGCTATTTGCAGCGCACACACCCCTTTCCTCTGACCCCAATGGATACTTACCAGGATCTACTGAGCGGTGTCACACAGTCATAGAAGAGGATCTGAATCCACCTTAGAAGGGAAAATGAAAACAAACAGGGAACCATCAGCAAGCTTCTGTACTTCATCAGACAGCATGGCCCAAGCCATTCCCGGATCAGTCTGCTAAAGAGATTGGGAATGGCTGATGGAGAAATGTCATGAACACCTGCAATCTCTCCAGAGAACTTCCTTCCCCTCCTTCAGCCCTCTTGGAAAGCACCCACTTGTCTGGCTAGTTGACCACTGTCTTCTCCAGGCAGGTTTCCATCAGTCCTCAGCATCCTGGCTTAGGAGACTCCTCTGCCACTCAAGTGAGCATATCAAGACTGCCTCTCATTATGTCTTCTATTCCCAGACTCAAGCTGCCACATACGGAATATCACTTTGTGATCTGATGTCTTCAGTGACTCTTAAGGAGGCCCTTAAGGACTTCAGTCCACTTTCCTTAGTTGGATTCTCTGATACTGTGTTGAAACACCATTGCCAAACGCAACCTGGGGAGGAAAGGATTTATTTTGGTTTACACGTCTATATCCCAGTTCATAATCGAAGGAAGTCAGGGCAGGTACTCATGCAGGGCAGGAACCTGGAGGCAGGAACTAAAGCAGAGGCCATGGACGAGTGCTGCTTACTGGCTTGCTCCCAATGGCTTGTTCTGCCTTATTTCTTTTCTTTTTTTTTTAAATTTATTTACTTATTAAAGATTTCTGTCTCTTCCCAGCCACTGCCTCCCATTTCCCTCCCCCTCCCCTAATTAAGTCCCCCCCCCTCAGCCCGAAAAGCAATCAGGGTTCCCTGTCCTGTGGGAAGTCCAAGGAACCCCCCACCTCCATCCAGGTCTAGTAAGTTGAGCATCCAAACTGCCTAGGCTCCCACAAAGCCAGTACGTGCAGTAGGATCAGAAACCCAGTGCCATTGTTCTTGAGTTCTCAGTAGTCCTCATTGTCCGTTATGTTCAGAGAGTCCGGTTTTATCCCAGGCTTTTCCAGACCCAGGCCAGCTGGTCTTGGTGAGTTCCCAGTAGAACATCCCCATTGTCTCAGTGTGTGGGTGCACCCCTCATGGTCCTGAGTTCCTTGCTCGTGCTCTCTCTCCTTCTGCTCCTGTCTGCCTTATTTCTTATAGAACCCAGCAGCACCATCCCAGGGGAGGCATCACCCACAGTGAGATAGGCTCTCCCACGCCAATCATCAATCAAGAAAATGCACCTAGCTTGACATTTTCTCAATTAAGGTACCCTGTTCTAAAATGACCCTAGCTTGTGTCAAGCTGACATGCCACTAGCCAGCACAGCCTCCATTCTTTACCCTCGTCTGCACTTTCCTTAATACACTTAAGAAACAGGCACGGTGATAATCGGCCAAGTCAAGGTTTGCAGTTACATGTATATATCATGGGTTTCTCCATATGTAGTCCTGGGGTGCATGGCTCAGTCTCCTTCACCATAATCTTCCCAGTTACATAAGAATATATTTGTTTTTCTACCCATACTACAAATATTTATTAAGCATTAAATTGATTCCAGCCAGCGCTTTGCTCACCCTTTTTACTATCCAGGGTTTTTAGTAAGCTGTCATCCTGGGGAAATTTACAGAGCTACAATGCTGAGTCAATCCTGTGTGCTCTCTATAGTTCCGAGGGGGTTCATGAAGACCAATCACATGGCTTCTAAAGGCTACAAGCAGCTCCTTTGCCTGCAGGGTTGTTGCCATGCAGAAGGTGAAGATGGAGGAAAAGTAGGCCTCAGAATGTACAGCCTTAATGTCGAAGTGTAAGATCAACCAAACAGATCGAGCGACCCAAACTTACTTTCATCTCAGAAAGGATCAAAGATCTTCCTGTAAGACTCCAAACTGGGAAGCTGCTAGAGGAAAACATTGTGTAAAAAAAGCTTCACTTATAGGCAGAGGCTATAACATTCTGAGCATCCCTCTGTCGCTCAGGGTAGAAGAGCAAATGACACTTCATGGAATTGAAAAGCCTTAGCAAGCAAAGGAAAGCCATTGCCCTAATGAAGAGAAAGCCTAGGGAATGGAGAGGCATGTGTGTAGTGATAGGAACAAGCAGGCCTACTTTTCGCCCCAGCTGGCTAGCTTTACACCTGAAATAACAACACACAAATTGTATTCATTTAAACACTGCCTGGTCCATTAGCTCTAGCTTCTTACTGGCTAACTCTCACATCTTGATTAACCCATATCTAGTAATCTGTGTATCACCACAGGGTCGTGGCTTAACCAGGAAGATTCTAACCCACGTCCATCTCGGGCCGGAGCTTCATGGCATCTGCCTGACTCTGCTTTCTTCCTCCCAGAATTCTGTTCTGTCTACTCCACCCACCTATCAAAAGGCCAAGGCAGTTTCTTTATTGACCAATGAAAGTAACACATAGACAGATCACCTTCCTACATCACGTGTGTGTGTGTGTGTGTGTGTGTGTGTGTGTGTGTGTGTGTGTGCATGTGTGTAGGTTTGTGTGCTGGTACTCATATTAGAGGAGCAGCAGGTGGCAATTGAAGTTCAAGGTTTTAGCCCACCAGGAGGAAACTGGTTAGGCAAGACCCCGAGACCACAGACCCAGGAATGTCTTGCTTCTGCTTTGCCTTTGCATATTTGTTGCTGCTACCTTTCTCTGGTATCTGGCATGGTGTGAATGGATGTGTGGAGATCCCACTGCCTGTAATGCAGAGTGTTTATCTTATGGAAATATCCCACTCTACTGGGCATTTTTATCTGTGGATTATTATGAAGATGATTACTTCCTAAGCTGTACTGTCTAATTGATAATAATGTTAGTTTAAATATTTTTTAATATTTTTGAATATCTTTGATGAATAAAAATAAACACAAGGAAATGCTACATAGCCAGGGATTATGAGTTTCATCTATGGAGCTGCATAGACTATAGCTCAAGTTAATTATTAAGAAAAACAGTTGAGTCCCAGGAGCCAGGCTGGCTCAAATTCCTTTAATCTTAATGCTGAAAGATGTAGTCACAGGTTTCAGTGTGTACGATTAGCTGAAACAAAACTTTAAAATAACTTCAGGTTAGATCAGATGTTTTGATCACAGCTTTAACATGAAAAACCCCAAAAAGCAATTTAAAGTTCACAAGGACTTATAGCTGGTATGGAACGTCCTTCTATACATGTGTTGCTTTTATTGGGTAATGAATAAAGAAGCTGCTTCTGACCAATGGCTTAACATAATATAGCCAGGCTGAAAGAGATATATAGAGAGAAAGAAGGCAGAGTCAGAGAGAAGCCATGTAGCCCCACTGGAGACAGACACTGGAGATGGAACTTTACCCGGTGAGCCACAGCCATGTGGTGATACACAGATTAATGGAGATGAGCTAGTTTAGGATGTAAGAGTTAGCCAATAAGAAGCCAGAGCTAATAGGCCAAACAGTGATTTAATTAATACAGTTTCTGTGTGGTTATTTTGGGTCTGGGCAGCCAGGAACAAACAAGCAGCCTCCTACAACACATAGCTGAGGTAAAAATTTAAAAAAAAAAAGCAGACCAAGTGTTACTAACTGACATATTTTCTTGCCAGGGTTGATTGATGATCAAAGGTGATGATTAATTGTTCCTATCCCTGCTCTCAATCTCCTGAGATAAAAAAAATATTAATGAATGGGTATACATCCTAAAGATCTAAGTATAGCTGATTGTTTTTATGTATAAAAGTTGAGTTTGTGATTCCTTTAAGATTTCTTATAAGATTAACTTTCAAGATAAATAGTAAAAGACCGATTCTTTCTTTGTAACCATAACATGCAGCCTGCCAACAAAAGAGTTGGTTATGAAAAAATACTATCTACTTGCTCATGTTCTGTTCATCTGCAACAAGTTACTTAGATATAAATGTATACGGATTATTGGAGTGACTTCGTGTTTGAGTATGTAAGGGAGATGAACAATATGTTTATTTTATGTGTGCTCTGTAGGAATTCAGCAGCATCACTGTATGGGGTACATATTAAAATGAACAGCTGTTTTTTGGCAGTGTCTTGACTTTGAAGACTCCTTGTAGAAAACGATGATTGTTTTGCTGAAGGAGCATTGCAGCCATTCTATGGCCTTGGTCACAAGACACCTCAGGCACTGTTGAGGTCCAGCCCCAACATAAATTATATCTCAGACCAGTGTGGAGGTGTGGGAATAATTGAGGCACAATTCACACAGCAATATCTGAAGCGTTTATTGTCCAAACAGCTTTTATATCAAAAGGTAAACTGAGGGGGAAGTTCATTAGCATTCTGTTTCCTGGGTCACAGGTCTTAGGTCATGCCTGCAACTATGGCTACTCGGACACATAGACTGAATTGACACCTCTTTCCCAGGCGATCTCCCAAATTACAAAGAAGCAGCGGAGTGACATTAGTATGTCCTGACCCTTTGTTTAGGATGGTGGCAGTTTGTCTGGAAAGGCTAGGTGACCACCTTCTGAGTGGCAGGCGCAAATTGTACCCTGAAATTCTGGCCACCATACATTATGGAAATATGGGCCTGTATAATATGGGCCCTACAAGGCACACCTGAGGCTCTTGTAGTATTGTGTATTACACACAATGCATAATAAAGGTCTAGAGTCATGGAGGCATGTGATACTCCAGTAAGACATGTAAGTTAAGATTAGGAACGTTGGTATGCAGAAATACTTTATGTAGCAATCAGTGAATACACCTTTGTATGGCTGTTTGGGGTCCAGTTCAGTTCATCAGAAGAAACTAGACATGGGCCTTAAAATTTCACCTTGGAGTGCCTTTTTTCTTCAACCGACAATGAAAGAACATGGAAAGAATACAGAAGAATAGAGAATAAAGGAAACCATCAAGAGTATGGTTGTCTTTTTCCTTAACCCCCTCTGATAGAAAAGTCTAGTACACACCAACACTGTAGATTCCTGAGTTCTGCACTGCTGAAGGCTGGTCCCCAGGCAGCTATAGGTGTGTATGAGTATAGGTGTGTGTGCGTGAGCGCGTGTGTGTGCCTGTGATTCGTTTACCTTAATTGTTCTAGTAT